GTGTGTGTGTGTGTGTGTGTGTGTGTGTGTGTGTGTGTGTGTGTGTGTGTGTGTGTGTGTGTGTGTGTGTGTGTGTGTGTGTGTGGTGAGGGGTGTATTAGTGATACTTGTCATGTCTGCTGTAAGTCACGCTGCTTTTTTCAGGTTCCCAGGTTGTTGTTGTTTTGTCTCAGAATGCTGTGTGGCAGGGATGAATGGTGGTGATGTTACATTATCATGCGGCTGTCGCTTTCACTCCTGCTGACTGCTCCGTGACAGGCCCACACACACACACAAACACACACACACATTTGTGTCAGGAGCAGTCCTGATTTATTAACTGCTGAAACGCTAGATGACGTGTGCCCACACAATCAATAGGGAGCACAGCCACTGCCTCGTCCTCTCTGGGGTCATGTGATGTGGAGGAAAACTAGGCAAGAAAAGAACACACACACAAACACACACATATCTACGCTACAGGGCTGCAGAGTGTATTGCATTACTGTATTGATGGGAAATGGATCCAGTCCAGTGTTTGCTGTTTGCTGCCAGTTAGAGGCTGAAGGGATAAACTTTCATCATGGCTGTCAGGGACATCACTCCTGCCTCGTTTGATTTTAAATCTACCTAATTGTGACAGAACGTTCCARCATCATCAATTAAACATGTTTTCATTTAGGAGCACTCGCAGGGGCAACAAGCTGGATGCTCAGGATCAGCCGCAGAGCTGCGAAGCTTCGTTGTTTTTGTTTATCAAATTTTGAGTTTTTATTTGCATCTGGTTCTCAACTTCCCATCTGCAAATAGGTTGTTTGATCATTCTGTTTATTTAGAGTGATGTGAATTCATTTAGAGATCCCCTTATATGAATGCATCATAGTTAAGAAGCAATAAAAAACAAACAGACTTGGATTTTGTCCTGATGGGTGACTGTATCACAGCTAAGTACTAATTATTGCTAGCATTAGCATGGCTTCTGTGTGAACATTTTTTACTGAGTGAAAAAAAAAAAACGTCTTGAGTCAGTGAGTTTCAGTAGCTGTAAAGTGCTTAAAAACAAAGTCAAAGGAAGCAAAATGGGCTACTTTAAGATTTTAGAAATTGTAATCGGACAAAATTGGGAGCTTCGCAAAACCTCTAAATCAAAACCAGCCCAGAAAATTACAGCCTTAACGTCGGCTTAATGTTGTCGAGTTGAAACCGGATGCTGTGTGGTATTCATGGACTTTAACCACGTCGTAAGGAAGTAAAGCAGTAGAAATTAATTTTGCCAAGGGAAAAAAGAAAGAAAGAAAGAACAAAAACAAGGCTTATTCTTAGAATCCCACTTATTATTCAGGAACTGTTTATGATTCATTTTTAATGCTTTGCCTTTTTTGGGGGGAGGCTTAGTGGCCCACATCTCTGTGGAAGATCGTGCACAAAAGGGAAGGAGAGAAAAAGAAAAGAAGAGGAGGAGGAGGGGGGTGTAGGAAGCGGCAGAGAGGGGAATTGTGTCCTCTCATTGTTCAATTAAGTCTGTCAGTAATGATCAAGATGAGATGATGGCCGCCTTCCTTTTTATAGATACTAATCTGCGGCTGTCCGTGAAGTAAGAGAATGGCGGGGTGGTATGGAGCCTTTTGTTGCTGCAATAGACTGTAAAATGTGTTTAAAAGGGTTTTGCTGTTATTGTGCCGCGTGTGATTTATTGTAATAGAGGGCACTTCCCACTGTCAGGTGATTACGTTAATGTATAGTCCACGGCTGCAAAGTTCACAATGAGCACTCTGACTGGCATTGAGGTCTAATCGATTTCATTGCTATTACTGAACAGAAATAAATAAAGCTGATGGCTGTGGTTAGGGTAATTATGCCACAGCACAGTGAATTGTTTGATTTTCCTTATTAATTGTATTTATTTAATCCATTTCATGCTTTTAGTTGTGCACTCGGGGACCTGGAGGGAATGAATAAATCACTCTCAGGCTCATTAGATTCCCCCTCTGGTTGGGACGTGCCACTATTTTGTCAGAATCAAATTGGCGTGTGTTATAATTTCCCGCTGGTGTGATTCACATTTAAAAAAAAGGAAAAAAAAGGGGAAAAAAATCCACATATTTCGTCTACCAGCCCATGTGCACACGCGCCCACACACACACACACACACACATGCTCGCCTACGTCTGCTCCCCATCTGAACTCCTGACCTTTTCCAGCCGTCTGATGGCCATTGACATTTGCCTCTTGAGCGGAGCTTGCTCACGTTTTTGGAGCTGATGGGAATGGATGATGTTGTTGCTGGAGGAGAGAGAGGGAGGGGAGGAGAAACGGGTTTGGAGGAGCGGGGCAGGTTGGAAAAAAGAGGAAGAAGAAGCCTCCTCCTCCTCCTCCCCTGGAATCCATCTGGACCCCCTGCGCCGCAGAAAGGTCACAGGGCGACTCCGACTCGCATCCTCCTCACAAAGGAGCCGCCGCCGCCGTGACCTGAGAGTATTCCACTGCAATATGGCTGTCCTGCTCTGTCACACGGCYTGTCGTTTCCCCGTCACGGAGGAGGGCGCGCTGCGTGGCCTTGTGATAGATGTTCGAGACAGGCTGCGGCGGCGTGAGCTGCGTCTTTGTCCTTGGAGACGGTGGATGGAGCCGAGGGCCGCACCTGGTCGGCTGTCTTCAGCACCTCTGGAGGAAAATCGGGACGATCGGCTTCTTTACCAAGGGAGCCTTCTGGTGGCAGGAAGAGGCAGGGCAGGAAGAAGTGATCCATGGAGTGATGGACAAACACAAGTCTGTAAAACTAAGACAGATTTAGGCGTCAGATGAGTTTCATGTAAGTTTGGATTTGGGCAACATCTCAAACACAGTTTGAGGCGTGAAGCTGGATTTAGGCAACACTTTGTGACAGCTGTCCAAAATGAAGGGAAACCAGCCAAACTGTTGTATCAGATATGAGAAAAACAGAAAAAATATTTTCTATTCTACTTAATTTAGATGTTTTTTTTTTACGATGATGTGTTTTATGTGAGTTATTATGTGTTTAAGACATTATTAAAGCCTTCAGCTAAATCGTTGTTTAAAATCTTACCAAATGCTGGGGATAGCGCAAACAAAAAAATTATGAGCTCTGCTCAAAATCTGTGTTCATTTTTACATGAATTAGGAGCTTGAATCGAGGAAATTACGCTTTTATGGTCTTGCTGAGGTGCCGGACTCGATGAAGCTGCACAATTTTWTGACACAGACTTGAACTTTTCTAACGACGGCCATATTTCAGGAAGTTCCCTCTGTAGGTTTGAGCAGGAGGAGCAGTTAAGGCTCTTATTTATTTTTTATTTGTGTCCCTCTGGTCCTTTTTTTTTTAAACATTTATTTTTATGTCTCCTTGCTGTCCTTCTGCAGTGCTCAGTATCCGTGGCGCCCAGGAGGAGGARCCTCCAGATCCCCAGCTGATGCGACTGGACAACATGCTCCTGGCGGAGGGCGTGGCCGGGCCGGAGAAAGGAGGCGGGTCGGCGGCCGCTGCGGCGGCGGCGGCGGCCACCGGCGGCATCGGCGCGGACAACTCGGCAGAACACTCGGACTACAGGGCCAAGTTGTCTCAGATCCGACAGATCTACCACACGGAGCTGGAGAAGTACGAACAGGTGCGTTTATGCAATCTGTCGGTTCTTGGAGCCTCTTTTGGAGATGTGAAATAAAACACAGGTACAAGTTCAGATACTGGAGCTAAACCCAGATTAACAATTATTTTTATTTATTTACATTACGGCTGCACCGATTAGTTGAAATAATCGATGACGCCGATTATGTAAATTTGTCGACACAGATTTTTTATTATCGATTTGCTGCGTTACATAACCACCACGTGAATGTTCATGCAATTCCGTTTCAGTACCTAAAWGCATCATTGCGACCGTATTGGCATAAGAGTGGTGAGTTTTTCATGCTTTTCCTGAACGCAGCATCGTGCAAGATCGTAATGACGTCAGCAGCCGCTGCTTCAATTCAGTCTGAAGCTTGAAAACAAGCCTCGCAGCTCCTGGAGTAAAATTTACTGAACAGACCTCCTCTGATTTATCTGGTGGATTAATTATCTTGTGAACATGACGTTCACTTGCTCAAAGTAAATAAAGCACCACCACTTTCTTTATTTCATCCACCATTAAACAGAGACCGGTGTTAGGTCGAGCGGCGTTCCCAGTTTCCCCAGCATCTCAAACAACAGAGGAGCTTCCCGACACACGTCTGACCTAAAGAGCACAAGCAGCCAACAAGTGTTGGACGTGTTCTGGATGTTCAAAACGTGACTTAAATACCTTTTATTAATTTTAACTGCATCCTCTTTTGTTTATTTGATTTAAACTTATTTGCCTTCCATGGACCTCCATCACACATTTTTTCTAGCGGGGAAATGACATCAATAGAAACACGTGGAGCTGGATTTTAATTTGTGCAATAAGACAAAACAGTCTTGTTGTTTTCAACAGTTTTCACCTTAAAGAAATAAGTTACACAACTGATGTTACTATACAAAGAGTTGGATGTTGTCTTGATATTTGTTAAATTTTATATATTGAGAAATATGTTAAATAAAAAATAATAAATAAACGTTTATTATAGTTTTTCCAGAGTGACTTGAGTTTTGCATGATTTAGTTCATTTGTTAGATTGTTAACATCTTACACTATATTTCTTTTAGTTGAATTTTTCATGCTGTGGTTGAGATTTTATGTTGATGTTAAATCTTTTAAGCTTTTTTTGTTAAAGAATTGACTCTAGAGTGCATATTTTGTGTCCATGAAAAAACTATTACAGAAAATATCACAATATTAAAGAACTGTTCTTGTTAATTTGATGAAAACGTTTTAAATATCCAGTGCACTCACATCAGAATAACTTTTAGATTTGTTGTTAGAATAATCGATTGATCGAATAAATAATCGTTMGATTAATCGATTAGAAAATAATCGTTTGGTACAGCACTAATTTACATGAAATGTTTTTTAATAATACTGAATTTTGTAATATAGTGAAATGACAACTGAAGGCATGTGATATAAAGCAGCGCGTGGTCAAACAAACACACGTCATCTGAAGACTAGGTCGTCTCATTTCTCATTCAAACCTGACTAGTGGTTCATGAGATATTTTGCTAACACACACACTCAGATAGAAACACAAGTAGCCTTATRGCATCAGATGAAAATGTCTGTAGGATGGCAATAATGTTGTTTAATCTTTGATGCATGCTGGGAAAAGCGTCACATTGTGGCGAGAAAGAAACAGCGGATAACACAAAACTCTTGTTCTTAGTGTAACAGTGTGATTCTCCTGAAATCAGCACTTACAGGACGACTCGCCACAAGCGTCGCTTTTCCGAGACGTTTTTCTTTAGCAGGCGAGCAGCCATTATATCAGTCACACCCCAGCTCTCCTCCAAAGCCTGAAACATCTTGTCATTCCCTCGGAAGTCAAAGCGTTCTGGGTTTGTCATCTTCTCCGAGGAAGGCTAGTCATCGCTAACTGTCACAGTCAATATACACCTGAGCATTTTTGTGTCACGGCGCTATGTACACCCCTGCGTACGTCTGAGCGTGCTTGAGTGTGTGTGTGTGTGCGCACGAGCAGAACGGCAGCTCGGTGGATCACTTTGACTGACGTAACCCCGGTGTTGACAAGCAACAGACACCTTGACTCTGAATGCAGTCATATCCAGTGACTGATTCAGACACGGAAAGAGGTAGACGGAAAGACRGAGCGAAAAGAGACGGAGACAGTTTAAACCTCTTGAACGTGAACGGGACTGAAAGCCTGCTGTCATTTCAGATTTCTCTTCACTTGTCACATTTTCTCTCCCATTGAAGAGAAAGCCTTTTTAATATTCAGAGCACCGCGAGTGCCGCTGCCTCCGCCGCGCGACTCCTCCGCCACGTTTGTTGGGGCTCGAGACGGCGGGCTGTGTCTGCGGCTTTAATTTAGACTATTCTTATTACCTGGAACACCGCTACCGTTACACTGTCAGCACTGCTCGCACGRAGTCGGGACCCACCGGCGAAGCTGCGGCGGCAGCTGCAGAATCCAATTTCACCCTTTTGTTCTGTCTGAAGCTGTCGAGCCCCCGCGWTAGTTATTCTTCTTATGAATCCTGTCTGTCTGTGCATCCAGGCGTGCAATGAGTTCACCACCCATGTGATGAACCTGCTGAGGGAGCAGTCTCGAACACGACCCATCTCGCCCAAAGAGATCGAGCGCATGGTCARCATCATCCACCGCAAGTTCAGCTCCATCCAGATGCAGCTCAAGCAGAGCACTTGTGAGGCCGTCATGATCCTGCGCTCCCGCTTTCTCGACGCGAGGTCTGTTACCRCCACCGGACACTCAGATCCTATTTTCTTTTTTCCATTCATACACCATTTCTCTCCCTTTTTTTCATTTCTATGTATAAACTCACTAGCTCTGAATCATTCTTTTATATTTAAATGTTTTTAAGCCTTATTTCATTTATACAGAAAAATGTTAGAAATAAACTTTTGACGTCTATTTTTAAGTAATTTTCTTGTGACCCGGTTCGTGCCTGTTTCTGTTACAGACGGAAGAGAAGAAACTTCAACAAACAGGCAACAGAGATCCTGAATGAGTATTTTTACTCCCATCTCAGTAACCCCTACCCAAGTGAGGAGGCCAAAGAGGAGCTKGCCAAGAAATGTGGCATCACTGTGTCACAGGTAACAACAAAAACAAAATCTTCCTGGAGCTTCCTGTTGTAGATTTAAATTCTTAGAAGCAGMGCTGCATCAGTTTCAGATTTGGCAGAGCTGAGAAAGCTATAGGAAAAACTAATCATTTTGACAAGATAATGCTAAATAATTCAACTCAAATTAAACTGCAGTCACATGAATACTAAATGTTCTAGCACTGTATTGTTTTAGGCAGTGGTTCCCAAAGTGGGGGTGCAGTGGTACTGCAGAGGGTACCAGGTTGGACACTGCTAGTATAATGGACAGGTTTTTGACAGGGCCACAACATAAAATTCAAATTTTTGCTCAGCAAACCTTAATTTTTTTTCTTATGGAGTTGTTGATCTTTTTAAATCCAAGTCACAAAGAAAAGCATTTTCTGAAAGATGAGTTAGTGATAGTGATGTGTCACACTGTAAAAAACCAACTTACATTTAAAATGTTGTTGGATTTACTTAACCAAGTTATATCAACAAGTCAGACACTCAAGTAAAGCAACTTTCACATTTATTTTAAGTAAATCCAACACAATTGTTTTTCAGTGTATGAGGGTGTTTTGTTGTTTTAAAATAGGTTGTAGTTTATTTTATTGCAACCTGTAATTTGTTTCAGTTGACTTTTTTAGTTCAAAAGCTTGAGGTGTGAAATAAACTGCAATGGAGTTTAAAAACAAAATTTATTTATTTTTTCCGTTTGGAGACTGTGTGCCAGGGGAGGTGAGGACGTTTTTTTCTCAAAGCAAAGGGGGCCCAGCAGAAAAAGTTTGGGAACCACTGGTTTAGGAAGTGAGAGCATGTAAACAGTGTTTTGTGGCTGTTATTGTTGTTATTATATAAATGATCATTTTTTTCTAAGAATCACAAATTGGTTTTGAAAGCAAAAGAGCAAGTTTGTTTTACTTAGAAGGAATGACTCTCAGCTACTCGCACGACAGATTTTAGTCCAATGTCATTGTAGGCATTAAAACCGTTGCTAAACGATGAAAGAAGTGTCCTCATGGTTTGATTCTGCTCTAATTCAGATCACTGCTGTCCTAACAGGTATCAAACTGGTTTGGGAATAAGAGAATCAGATATAAGAAAAACATCGGCAAGTTCCAGGAAGAGGCCAACATGTACGCGGCCAGGACTGCGGTCAACGCCACCAGCGTGTCGGCTCACGGCAGCCAGGCCAATTCCCCGTCAACTCCCAACTCAGCAGGTGAGCCTCAAACCATGACCTCAGACTGTTTAGGTGCTTTAAAAGGAGAAYAAAATAATGTTGTTGAGTATAAACTCATTCCACAGTTTAAGAATTTAGTCCGATGTTTATGCAGACGGGCCGAAAGCCTCTGTTCTTAACTAACCCAAAGACTTACGTTGGCTTCTTTTTCAATATCTTCTCTGCCTTTTGTCTCTCTCTCTCTCGCTCTCTCTCTCTCTCTCTCTATCTCTCTCTCTATCTCTGTTATTGACCTCCTGGTCTTGTGGACGTTAATTTTTCCTTCCTCTTGTCCGGTTGACCTTGTGTATGCCATTAAGCCGCTCGGAGTGCAAGCGGAGTCTTTTGTCATATAGAGACTTTGCAACTGTATTGGATTAGGACCGGGTGTTGAAATCAAGTTACGCCGTGGTCTCTTTACATCTGGGGGAGCTAGGGTCCATTAAAGGACGAAGACGATTCTTTGGGTCTTCCTGCACATCAATTATGACTTCCTTAATGAAACACTAGCTGCATAGACATTTAAATGTAATACAATCTATGAGCCTTGTTCAACTTAAACAGTTTAGTAATGAGAATCTGTCTCTTTCTTGTTGGCGGTGGATTTTTTTCCCTCTAACATTGCTTTGAGTAAATGTTGGCCTAGAGTATCTGCCATGTGCAACAAAACGTTACAATGCAGTATTATACTTTACTATATAGTGCAATATAATACTCAAAGTAAACAAAATGATACATTGCGATATGATCCAATATCATAGATTACGTCATAGTACTGTGATATCTGGTACTATAAGGTACATTACAATAGCTACGTTTACATGGACATAAGTAATCGGATTAAATGGCTGTTCGGAATAAAAATATGTCATGTAAACAGCCAGTTCGGATTATTCTGATCCAATTGAGCTCGATCCGAATGAATTTTTAATCTGAATGAGCGAGTTGTTTATGCCGATTGATAATCGGAATGACGTACATGTAAACACTTAATCGGGTCATCTTATTCTGGCTGTGGAAAACTGACCTGAGTGCGCAGGRCTTTCATTCACCCAGTTCTGCTCTTTAGAGGAGGCGGGGCAGCAGCGCTGTAGTTTCCAGCTGCGCTGCGCCGCGCAGGACTTTTCCTCCTCGCTCTCTTAACAGATGAAAAAGGAGACAAACAGCAGCCGTTGCTTCGCAAAAAAATAAAAATAAAAACACGCATTGCTTCATCTGCAGCTCAACCGGGGAGTAACAATGTCTCTACCATTATTAAAAGCTGACACGGGTCCATCCTGAGCGTACAGAAGAGCTTTGTTTACATTTGTAACACGGAAGTAGAGCTGAAAGTTTACAACACTGCGCATGTCAAAGTCCGATGCATGTAAACACTTGTCATGATCGGATTGTTTCCATGTAAACAGTATATTCAGATTATTTAACCCGAATACATTTAAATCCGATCAAAAAATTTTGTGCATGTAAACATAGCTAGTATGGTACAATACACCTCTTGCTGTGCAATGTAATTTGATACATTCTGATATTGTACAACACCATACATTAAAGTATACTTTGGTACGATACAGTAGGATATATTTTAATACAGTATAATGTGATATATTACAATTTGATCCAATATGATGGTGCAATGTGATTTGTTATGAAATGGTACAATACAACACTGAATGTACAATATTATAGTACAATTGTATGAGGTWTTATGTCTTTTCTTGCTCGAGGAAATCAGTTCAGATGTCTGCTAACCTCTCAAACTAACTCACTTAATGCTCTCTTGCTTGTGCATGATCGTTTTAACCCCCTTTCTCTATCCCTCTCCTTGTCTTTTCACTTTCTTTTCACCCTTGTGTATACCTTCTCCTCTGCCTCTGTGTGTATTCTCAGGTTCTGCTGGCTCTTTTAACATGTCAAACTCCGGAGACTTGTTCATGAGTGTGCAGTCCCTCAATGGGGACTCGTACCAAGGGGGGCAGGTTGGGGCCAACATACAATCCCAGGTAGGCGCTTTCTCCAAGCTTAGCAACTTTAAGGAGGCAAAAGGAAAAAAAAACTGACAAAAGTCTTGAGACATTTATTCCACGGCTGACCAGTCTGGGAGTGCCCAGAATAGTTTGACCTACACACTGAAACGGGGGGTCACTCCTAGCCTGAAGCTCCCCGTTAATGTAGATACCATTGTCAAGCTATGGTTGAATAGACGACGGCAGACAGTTTTGGAAACGTTGCAATGCTCATCAGCACTCCTGACAAGTGTTCACATAGCCACTGGTGCACTGTGGCTCCCTGACCTTGCCGCAGTGGACAGTTCTGACCACCGCAGTGTTACAACTTTCACCAGAGATTAAGAAACCACCACCCACGGTGATTTTCTCTTTTTTTATTTTTAATGCTTTTAGCGTCATTTCCTTATCCCACCATCCCTCCTTTTCAATTCAGATCAGCTCTCCAAATGCTTTAGGACGTTCATGAATATGCAACAGGGACGAGGCTTGTATGAGGTAAAGATGTCTTTGAGGTTTGCTTTTAAATATTTATTTTGAAGTTAGATGTGATTTACTAATTTGAATTAAAGCAAAAAATAAAGTACTTATGGCTAAACTGCAATCTACATCTGACTGAACAACATAATCTTGGCAACATTTAGTTGCGTTTTCAACAAAAGTACCTAAATATTTTTTTAATCTACAAAAAAATAATAATTTATTTGCAAGAAAATAGACTTTAAACGAGGCTATAATWTTGATGTGAACCAAGATTCAGCTTTAATACTTAGCACCTAGTTTTTAAAGCCTTACATCCTAATAAAAATGTTTAAAAGTTGAATAAATGAAATGCATTCAGAAAAGCTGTTTCACCTTGTGCAGCGTGGCATGTTTMTGTGTTTGAACCTCGGTCTGTGTGCATACAAAGACGCAGGAGCATTCAGCCGCACATTTTCAGTTTAACAGCTACAAATGGAACATTTTGCTTACTTTCTATCATTTTGTCCTTTTTCGCTTCGTCCGTTATTGAGCTCGTGCRAGCAGCCAAATCATACCGATTCATTGTTTGTAACCTTTTCCTGTTTATGATACCCTTTTATTATCGGAGTGACCTTTCGCTGAGTGTTGCCGCCTTTGTCGCGCCTAGCTTTTGTCTGACCGGGCCTTTTGTCTTGTGTCCTCGCTGTTCCAGGTGGATACCCTTCGCCATGTTATCAGCCAGACCGGAGGATACAGTGACAGCCTCGCGGCCAGCCAGATGTACAGTCCACAGGGCATCAATGTAAGACCTGTAAACCATCCCCTTCTGCTTCCTAACATTTGCTTTGCTGTCCCCAGTTTCAGAGTGTAACGTTGTCTAAATCCATGTGCTCATTTGGGTTTGTGCACAGCGGACTCTGGCAGAGTTGGGCTACTGTCCAGACAGTCCCCCCTCCCTCCTTTATCCCTCTCTGTTGGAGCTCTACGCAGTAACTGGTGCTGAGTCTGAGCTGGAGGAGCTCCTAGCTTGTCGGAGGACATTACCCTTAAGGGTTACCTTATGCGGACAGAAACAAAAGGCATATCTGCATTGTAGGGCTCAGCTCGATTCTGTTGCCCAATACCGGTTCACTGACTTGGAGCAAGGTGGGGTTATGTCACAGATGTGATTAACTTTACTTGAATTGTTTGCAGTGACTGCAACRTTTTTTTCTAGGGATGTAACAATACACCAATCCTCAATGATATGTCGATTAAATGATTAGTAATTCAGCTACATCAAGGCAAAATGAAAACATGGATCATAACCTTATCATGACAGACTTTGCGATATCGAGAAACATCGTATCGTCATCCAAATAAATCGATAAAATACTGTATTGTGATAGAGCTGGTCATTTACAACCCTAGTTTTTTCACACAAGTTCAACTATACAACAAATGTAGGAAGCTACCAAGTAACAACAAGCTAACGTTAGCTACTATTAGCTCACCGTCCTCTTCCGGCTTGCTCTCTTGTCCAGTGGTCCATTACAGCCGCTGTGCTTTTTGTTTGARCCTAATGTTCATTGTTGTGTTGCAAAAACAAACAACATAAGCTTCGCACAATTTAAATGTGATGATCCCCGCCCACATTGAGGCACTAAAGCCAAGCCGACTGGGGCCAGGTCTTAAAATGCAAAAAAGGGCTCAGGTGTTAACCTCCTTCCTGAAACTAATCTGGTTTTATGGCACCATAGAACAAAGCATACATATTGTCCTTTACACACTGAACT